CGGAAGCTCGTGGACGCCCCCTGATTCCTGAATCATGCCCTCAGACCAGAACTCTACCCTGCCTCGCACTTCCCGCTGCTCGGTCACCGGGCAGCACAACCCACCTCAGCTCCGGCCCGCGTCGTCCTGCTGGGAGCTCGCGGATAGCCACTGCATCTGTTCGAATTCTGTCTGAATTCTTGAATTGCTATGAATCAGGTCCAATGAGTCAGACCGGAAGAACTGTAAATTACTACCCGGTCTTCAGGCTTGAACTACCCTCTTCCCCCGAACATAACGCACCCTCATTTTGGCTGTGTACCTGGCCGGAATATAGCTTGTAATACCTTGTATACATTCATTTTTAGGGTGCGTTATGTTCGGGGGAAGACGGAGACGGTAGACATGTGCCCGAAAATTACCATGAAGTAACTAATTACCATGAAGTAACTTGAATGATCATTGCTTGGAGCTCGTGGGCTCGTGGATAGCCACACTGAATCTGTTTCTTGAATTGGTTCTGGAATTGCTAGGATGATATGATCCAAAGAGTCTGACCAGAAGAACTGTAAATCACCTGGTCTTCAGCCACTGAATCTGTCTCTTGAAGTGCAGGGATCTCATGACCATTTCTGCATTTAATTTAGGGTTTTCACGCGATGATCAGAAGACCTGTGAATTACCAAACTCCCTCATGCGCCGGATTACAGCACACGGCATGGGAGTTCTCTGTGACAGTCCCGTCCCGTCTTCAGGCTAGATTACAGCGCCGAATTACCAAACTCCCTCATGCGCCGGATTACAGCGCCGGATTACAGCACAATGTCATGTGTCCGCAAAGAAAACCTGCAGTGGTCAAAAATATCACTCCTCCTCGGAGTCCGCTCATTGCGTCTACGCGTGATGGAGAGAGCAGTGAGGAGTAGGGGGAGTGTGGGCAGCAGTGCCGCAGCACAGTCCTCCGCGACCGAGCCCCGGGACTAGTCCTCCTCTCTGTGGCATGCAGCAGCCTCTCGCCATGCATGCTCGTCCCAATATGGGCAAAGGGCTCAAGCCCCTTATTCTTCTGTGGGTGGCGGTGACATGATTTTCAACATATAAAAAATGCAGCTTGTCTTGTGAAAGATGATGCGATCAGAAAAGACCAGTCGCTCTCCATGCGCAGAGAATCCGCGGAAGATGCGAGGGAACAAGTGCGGAAGCGAAGGTAGAGTGGGCACCACTGTGACCGTCAGTGTCCGTCACTACTGGGCAAAGCCTGCATAACGTAAGAGTACGAGAGAACAGTCCCCTGGGCTCATTCCCTGACACATCACAGGTCAGACAGAATGGACATGTGAAGGCAGCCCAAGGAGGAACCTTGGGAGGGAAGAGTACGAGACAACACAGCGGAAGACTCAATTCGATGCACCGGTCGGGGAGATGCAAACACAGCTCCACCAAAGCCACAATGCTGAAGGAGAGAATCGACGGACATAAGACGTGAAAACATGCACACACTGACTGGGGAGGAACAAACACAACACTATCGAGAGAGAGAACATAGGTGGTGGAGAGCGTGTGACACACTAGTAAGTCTTATGGAGGAATGTAAAGAGAGATGCAGGGAGGATCACATTTATGGAAGAGAGAGCCCGCACCCAGATCATCCACAAACAAAGAGGAGGTGAGAAGGAGAAGCATAAGAAGGCAACACGTCGAGCTGCAACAAGGTTGCCCGCATCATCTCCCTATCAAGTTATCAACCCCTCAAGCGCAAAGATTCTTCTCCTCCAACAATTACACCACCTCTACAGCACAAACTTTAAGATATTACACGAATGAATGAATAACGTCTCTGCCTGTGAAAACTTCCACAAGAAAACCTCTCTCTCTCTCTCTCTCTCTCTCTCTCTCTCTCTCTCTCTCTCTCTCTCTCTCTCTCTCT